AACTTTAAAAAGGTTTCGTAGGAGATGGTTCGGAGGGTGTACCCGCGCTCAGATCCTTTTAAGATTTCGTAGATTTTAACAACCATTTTTTTAAGCCTTTGGATGCATTTGGAAGCTTTTAGACACCTCCGAAACCTTTTTGGAGGGTTCGGTAAAGTACCTTTTTTTTTTAGAGTGTACCGCACATTATTCCCATACATGGCTATACGTCTATAATTTCAAAATAATTTAATGAATTAAACACACTCTAACATATCTTAGTAATTAAGTGTGATACTGTTAGCAGAATACATTTGATCGTGCATACTTAGTAACGTTATTAGAGAATATAACTGACAGCTTTTTTTTTTTTGATGAAAAAGAAAGTTATCCTATATGGACTTTTGATATCGATGTAATTCTAAATTTTAGAAATTCTTTCAATTGACTACTTAAAATCTATTGGTTCATATCCTAATACGCAATTATTAAATTTAAACGAAGAATTATTTACTGGACAATTTATAGCATCAATTATTTTATCACATATCGATATCGAGAATCAAATCAATTTATTTACTAAACAAACTAAACTTAGTTCAATTTCATGTGAATTTCATCCAAATACATTTAAATATTTATTTGACATTATTGAACAACTAACAACAATATTACTATCAAATCGTACTGTCACTCATATTTTAAACATTTGTTTACGATTATTTACAACTCATCTACAAATATTATCTGATGTTAAAACTGACGATCATACTGATTTAACAACATATATTATTGATGATGAATTACAAAAATGGTTTGAATTATTATTAAAATTAGCTTGTAATGAAAATTCCGAACAATTTACAATATGTGAAGAAGCATCAAAAGCTCTTATTAATGTTATTAATATACAAACATTATCATTTGATAAAAAATTATCCTTAGTTCATCAATATATTATTGAAAATAAATATCCAATTTTAATTAAACAATTTTTAATTGAATTAAATAAAAATGAAATTTTATTAAATTGGGTCAATGTTTTATGTGATGAAAACAATAAATCTTCAATGTTACAAATTTTATATTCATTCATTGATCTTTATTTCAATATAAAAGATGAACAGAAATCTTTAATAGAACAAATATTACTTTCATTTCAACAATATCTGCTATATCGATTAGTTGATCAATATGAAAAG